CGCCTGTAGTCCCAGCTACTCGGGCTGAGGCACGAGAATCGCTTGAACCCAGGAGGCAGAGGTTGCAGTAAGCTGAGATCTTGCCACTGCACTCCAGCCTGGGCGACAGAGTGAGACTCTCAAAAAAAAAAAAAGAAAAAAGAAAAATCTGATGAAGAACATCGACCTCTGAGTGCCTAGAACAGGCACGGCAGGAACTTGGCTGGTGTGGCTGAGTGTGACTGGGACTGCTGTCACTTCCTGCCTTATCCCCAGGCCTCCCTGTTCACATTTCCACTTGTGACAGTTCCCTCAGATACTAAGACAGGCAGCGTTGATGGTAGATGAATTTTTTGCTATTTAAGTACTTTGACTAGTGGCCTGGGGATTAATGTTTAATTCAGAAAAATAATTTTAGCCTAAACAAATCTCGTTATCTTGCAGGGTGAACTTCTCACCTGAGGGCTGTAAAGACTGGTTTGAAAATGGAGAGCCAAGAACCAACGGAATCTTCTCAGAATGGCAAACAATATATTATTTCAGAGGAGGTATAACTTGGTTTTCACTTTCCTTTCCCTCCCCCACATAAATCTGAGTTTAATACAAATACATAGGCTGTTTGTGGTTACAAATGGTGGTTTTTCATTCTTGAAGAAGGTCATGAAGATTTTTCCTACTCCCTTTTTTGGGCTCAGGCACATTTTGCTCTTGTGTGGGAGGAGTAGTAGGTGTGTGTATTAGTGAAATTGAGACTCTAGGTAGATTTGGGCTCCTGGCAGAAAAATTCTTAATCCTTACTGTGTTTCCCTAGATAGAAGAAGAAAGAATATATGCAGTTGAGGACTCAGATATTTCATATGTAGTTGTCACAACTTGGCTGTTTATGGTCGCAACATGAGTGTTTAAGAACAATGAAAACCTACGTTGTTAATTGTAGTCTAAATTCCAATGAGTTCTAGAACCAATGTATGTCTGTGTGTTATTCAATTTAGCTTTAAAAGTCTTTTCCTGCAGGAACCATTGCAGTGGATAAATTTTAAATCCTTCATCTTGGAACTCTGATCTTGACACCTTTCTGGAATTCCTTTTGATTTAAAATCTTTCCGTGTTGTCTGTGAACAGATCTGCTGAGAATTATTAGGTTGCTGCTGGCAAGAAGTGAAAGATAGGATAGTAGGAAAAAGGTTACTGCTTTATACGCAGTGACGCTTTCCTCCCAGTTCAGTATAGTGCCATAGGTAAGTTAGTCTTCAACACCAGAACTCCCCAATGTCTAGGCAGAAGGAACCTGGGGTGTCCGCCTGCGGTTGGGTGGGAAACCCGTGTGTCATGATAGGAGATCCAATCCCGGACCTTGTTTCCCCACAGTCCGCCTTCCTGTGTCATCACTGACAGGAAAATACCAGTGTCTAGAGATGGCCGTTTCTACATACTAAACTCACCTGTGTTGTATGCACCCAGGTCAGGGGACAGACCATCAACAGCGTCCCAGGAGACCCTCACCCTATGTGCTCCCTTCCGGTTACCTCCATGCCCCACCCTCGCCACCAACTCCCGGAAGTTTTTAGACTGTCATTTCTTTTCACCTGTTACTACTAACCCCAAGAAATTTCAAAAAGAAGCAGAAAGGCCCTTTAAAAAAAACTAACCCTGAATACCTACCTACTCTGAACTGAAAAACGTGCCCGCAAGTTATTGGGAAGGAAACATGATTATTGGGAGTCTGGGGAAGGACAGAGGAAATGTGAAAGAAAAAACCCTTTTAGATAAAAACAACTTGGTTTGAAGGTTTCCCAACTTATTATCTGATATCCTTTTAGTTAATTTCAGAAGGAAAATGGGTCAAGCTTGAAAAAACAACGTACATGGATCCTACTGGTAAAACTAGGTAAACTTTTTTTTTCTTATAAAATGTCCATTATTTGGGTTCTCAGGTTATCCGTTGAGTGTTTTACATAAACTTTGATGTTTTCTTTTTTGTAAACTGTTTTAAATAAAGAATCTAATTTAGCTGTTTTTCCGGTGTTAGGATGTTTGGATCATTTATAATTGCTGAATAAAATTGGGTTGTAAATGTGTTACAATAACTAATCAGAAAACTATTTTAATACCATTCTCCCTAAGTAGACAAGTATAGACCTAAAACTTTTGGGCCAAACCTAATTTAAGCTGATAAGGCGACAGAATAATTAACAGTACATGTTGCTTCCTTCTAGTACAATCAGTTTTTAATTTCTAAATTAGAAGAAATAAAGAGAAAACAACAACATTGCTAATTTTGAGGTATGTGCGCCTGCCTCATGGAAATGTAAATCAGGAAAAAACATTTTGTACACCCTATTTCATAATATGTATCAATAGCCCTAAAAATATTGTACCCTTTGACCTAGTAATCCCAGTTTTAACAAAGTGTTAAGGGCCAGGTATGGTGGCTCACGCCTGTAATCCCAGCACTTTGGGAGGCCAAGCAGGGGTGCGAATCGGTTGAGGTCAGGAGTTCAAGACCAGCCTAGACAGCATGGCAAAACCCCATCTCTACTAAAAATACACAAATTAGCTGGGCGTGGTAGCATACACCTGTAATCCCAGCTACTTGGGAGGCTGAGGCAGGAGAATTGCTTGAACCCGGGAGGTGGAAGTTGCAGTGAGCTGAGATCGCACCATAGCACTCCAGCCTGGGTGACAGACTGAGACTCTGCCTCAAAAAAAAAAAAAAAAAAAAACCAACAGCAAAAGAAAGTATTAAGTAAATTAGTATTCAGAATTAAATTTATGTATAGAAAATGTTCACCAAAAATTTAAAAGACAGAAAAACTGAAAGCAACCTAAATATCTTAAAAATAGGAAATGAATTGTTATAGCGTATTATCTTGGTAAAATCTCTGCAGCTGTCTAAAAAGCAGATTCTGAAGGCAACCTAGCAATACGGGAAAACTTCCTAAGTTGATAACAAAGTAGCAAAGTGTGTATATGCTTTTCAAACTCTGCCAAATAATGTGTAAGAAAAAGCCGGAAGGAAAACTAGCACAATGAGAAAAAAGCTATGTGGTTAACCCTTTTTCTTTTACTTTCCAGATTTTTACATAGTAATCTTTTGATACGGTAAACTCTCAGAAGAAAATAGTGTGAAAATAAATTTTTTACTTAGTGAACTATAAAAAGGAGCACAACAGAATGAGAACGAAATTTAGTAACCAGATCACATGATACAAATCCATCAATATGAAAACTCCATTTGCAAAGTGATCCAGTAAGAGTACATGGTTTCCTTGTGATGAAATAGATCAAGATGCAAATACGTGGACTTGCCAGTAAACAACTTTGATGATATCTGTCTACTGAACTAGCGAAGGCCTTTTGTAGGAGAGCTGTGGGGAACATATTAAGAGATAGATAGCACTGTTGAATTAAAACCAGCAGTAAGAAAGCTAAACACAGTATGATCCATCGACCATGCAAGACTGTAACTCTTCACTTAAAATGCCAAGTGAGTTTGATATGGAAAACTAAATGTATGAAATAAGTAGGGCCCAAACCCAATACAGAAATGTGGCAAGGCCCAAGTCTTAGGGAGCACCGTATGTTCAAATGTATTTTTATTTGTGAAACTATAGAGAGGTTGGAACCCAATGTATAGTGATACAGTTTGGTTCTCTTTTTCCTATCAAATTAAGTTTATAACACAAAACATAGCCCTCAACTCTAATGAGTCTAAACATGTATTTGAGGCCAGGCGCAGTGGCTCACGCCTGTAATCCCAGCACTTTGGGAGGCCAAGGTAGGTGGATCACTTAAGGTCAGGAGTTCGAGACCAGCCTGGCCAACGTGGTGAAACCCCCATCTCTACTAAAAATGCAAAAATTAGCCGGACGTGGTGGCACATACCTCTAATCCCAGCTACTCAGGCAAGACTGAGACGGGAGAATTGCTTGAGCCCAGGAGGTGGTGTTTGCAGTGAGCCGAGATCGCACCACTGCACTCCAACCTGGGCGACAGAGTGAGACTCTATCTCAAAAAAAAAAAAAAAAAAAAAGATGTATTCGCACCAGCTTATCTCTTCGCCTGACTGGTCTTCTGCCCTTCCTGCATTTCCTAATCAGGGATGTACATCAGAATCACATGAGGACTTTTCTGAAAATAGGATGAAGTCTCACTTCCAGAATATCCGTTTCAGTAGATTGGGAATAGGCTGTAAAATCCACCAAACTACCATATTTATAGCATGGTCATGTCCATTCTTGCATACATAGGTTTTTTTTCCTGGCCTCTGAAGAGGACTTACGTAAAGCACTAATATCTCATACCAGAATGTCACCCTTTGAAGAATGAATCTTTGTACTTTCCAGTATGCCACGATGTACAAGTTATAGGATGTGTTATCTCTGACCGGATATAAAAGCCTGTGTGTACAGGTTGAGCAGCCCTAATCTGAAAATCTGAAATTCAAAATTCTGCAAAATTCAAAACCTTTTCAGTGCCAACCTGATGCCCCAGGTGGAGAATTCCACACCTGAATGCATGTGACAGGCTCAGTCAAAACAGGCATACAGCACAGGCATTCAGTGTCCCCCCCGGGGAAAAGGGACCCTCCCCTTCAGCTCTGCTATCTCCTTTTATTTTTATTTTTTATTTAATTTTTCTGAGACATAGTCTTGCTCTGTTGCCCAGGCTACAGTGCGGTGGTGTGGTCTCAGCTCACTGCAACCTCTGCCTCCCTGGTTCAAGCGATTCTCCTGTCTCAGCCACTCGAGTAGCTGGGACTAGAGGTGTGTGCCACCACACCTGGCTAATTTTTGTATTTTTAGTAGAGACAGGGTTGTTGGCCAGGATGGTCTCAAACTCCTGACCTCAGGTGATCCACCCACCTTGGCCTCCCAAAGTGCTAGGACTACAGGCATGAGCTACCGCCTCCGGCCATATCCTTTATTTTTAAAATTTATTTAATTTTGATTTTTTTTAGTAGAGACAGAGTCTCACTGTGTTGTCCAGACTGGTCTCGAACCCCTGAACTCAAGCAGTCCTCTTACCTTGGCCTCCCAAAGTGCTGGGGTTTCAGGCATGAGCCACCACACCCGGCCCGATATATCCTTTGTACGCACACAGCAGCTTCCCTCCGTGGGCACGCCCACAGAGGGTCATGAAATGGCAGGTGTGCAGGCCGAACGCCCCAGCAGCGGTTTCCCGGCAGCACGCTCCACAGGGCTGAGGCCTACGTGCATGACTCACTGTGGGGTCCTTTTGCTTATTTTCTGCTCTGTGGGGTAAAGGTACTGTTGAAAATGTCAAAAAGGCCTGCATAAGACCCAGAGGGTAAGGCAAATATTTCAAAATCTGAAAAACCAAACTCTGAAACACTTGCAGCCCCTCAATTTCAGGTAAGGAATTCTCAACCTGTCCAGCTGTCACTTGGTGTCTGTCGGGGTTAGTTCCAGGACCCCGCTGTAGATACCAAAATCCACAGATGCTCAAGTCCCTGGTGTGACATTGCATATATTCAATGTGTATTTGCCTATAACGTACGCACATCCTCCCATGTACTTCATCTTTAGAGAAATCACAGCACCTAATACATTGCAAATGCTGTGTAAACAGTTGTTGTACTCTATTGCTTAGGGAATAAACGCAAGAAAAAGCGTGGACATGTTCAATATAGATCCATTTTTTTCCGAAATATTTTCAATCTGTGGTTGATTGAATTCACGAATGTGGAACCCACGGATATAGAGGACCGAGTCTAAGAGAGAAAATAGCAGCTAGAGAATCCTGTGTTCCACCATCTCATTCATGAAAGGGGATGTGGGGTTGATTTTAGAAATATAAAAATATTCCAGTAGTGTGTGTCTTTATTGACATTGAAGACAGTGCTGAAGTCACCCCCGTGACCCTCCCGCCTCTCGTGTTGGTGAACTAGAGGGAGGAAGGCCAGCAGGCTCTCCTGTAACAAAGGAGACTAGGAATAGGATGATCTCACTGGAAGCAGAATCCTAAAGCTAGAAGAGGTTTCGGAGGTAACATACTCCTTCCTGCTTTTTACAAAGGAGAGAAGAGTCTCCAGGAGGCTGGCGCTCTGGGCCCAGCTGGTAGGCAGGCAGAGACTAAGAGCGGACTTCCAGCCAGGTGCGCATCTCACAGGCCCTCTACAGTTGTTGGAGCTCTCACGGGGCAGTCTTGTTTCACGATTTCTTATCAATGCATTTCTGTTTTATCACTCGTGATTTACGGCTCGTTACTGCTTATTTCCTTCACCTTAACCACGATAATGATGCTCCTCTTTTTGTTTCCCTTATTCCTAGTGTTTGGGATGGGACCTTCAGTGCTTTTCCCAGCACTGTCTTCTTCAGTCTTTAGGACTAACCTTAGGAGGCAGCAGAGAGAGCTATGCCAAAAGGTGTTTCATCTCTTGCAATCTGTATGATTTACTTACCAGCATTGCTTGTTGGTCAGCTCCTTGCTACTAACAGGAATGTTGGGCGGCTGTGAGTTGTCATAGAAGTCTGTTTGATTTTCCTGTGTTCATTTCGACATATTTGCCCTGTAGAATTTGGGTACGATGCTGAAAGACCTACAATTTCCAGACAGTCTTTTTGTTTTGTTTTTTTAAAAGCAGATTAAATATTTGAACAATTTTAATGGAAATATGACAAGGTCCCAATTTTAAGGACAGCCAGATAGAAAGCATGAGCAGGAGTGTTCTTCTGAGGAGGGTATCTTGGAACTCTTACTATTGAGATACAGGTGGTAACTCCTTTGTATCCCAAGCCCCAGAGCCACCCACATGTCTCACTTCCTTTAAAAGAGATCCTAAAATTGTTTGCTTCTCCACTCCGGTCTCTTACCATTGCTTTTTCTACTGTAGGGAGGAGAGAGTGAAGGGGGAATGTTCCTTTTATGCCTCACCCCTTTAAGCTGCATAATTGATTCAGTAACTGGGCTTCCTGTGCAAATGGGCCCCGTGTTCCAAGGCCAGAAGGTAGAATAGCACGGATGCTACCCAGAAACTGAGTTGGGTACCAGTCAGAAACCAGTAGCCCAACAGGAACAAAGCTATACAAGAGAGCAGGACTGTACTGTTAGCCCACTTTTTCTAGATAAGATCTCACACTTGCCTACATTGAATAATTCTTCCATTAATAAATGGGAAGGTTCTTCCTTCTTAAATTGTGTATTTTAGGTCACATATTTTAAAAAGCGAAATGATAGAAAAATCTCAACAGTTCACGTTGTCCACAGTAGCTTTTGTTCTTAGAGACGGGGTGAGCCTTTTCCTACAGCTTCATTTGCATTACCTGCTTATTAATCCATCACTGGCTGTGCTCTTTGCCCAGAGACATAGGATCCAAACTAAAATGTTCTGAGAAAGCGGCAGCTCACATGCTCAGCAGGCTTTCTGTTTCTGGGGCACCCAGAGGGTGAGGTGTAGGGTGGCAAGAGTTTTCACTGTTAATTTTCAGAAGCTATAGGAAAGCAGAATTAGCTTTTTTAATGCAGACCTTTATTGCTGTGGTCTTCTTGACCAATATCATGAGTACATTTGCATGCATTGAATTTAAGACGTTCTGGTTGTACACAGAAAACCTAAGAAAATTCTCCTCTTTAGCACTAACGACTTTTTCTTTCTTCTCTGCCTGAACAGAACTTGGGAATCAGTGAAACGTACAACCAGGAAAGAACAGACTGCGGATGGTAGGAGTGCAAACCTATTCCAACCCTTTAGAAAGGAAGTTAGCACTTGTGATCCTAAGAGGGTTTTCAGCGGAACCAAGTTAACTCCTATTATGTTGTGTCTTTAAATCTCCTGTTAGTTTTTGCCGTACCATGTAACTAAATTAAGCTTTCTTTATAAGTAACTTCTGGCTTCTGCTATCTAAGCTCAAAACAGTGTTTTGAGGGGAAGTTGTTCTATGTTTATAACTAAATGTAAATCAATGTAGTTTGAAACCACACACTGTGTCTAGACGTGTTATGACTCTAGAAATCCTTGTGTCCCGTTCGAAGGATCTAGGTGAGAGCCTTTAGTTTGGAAAAGTTACTTGGCACACTTTTATGCTTATGGACCGCTTGCTTTACAGATTGATGAGGACATGGAATTAATCGGGCAAAGCCTGTTCCGTTCACCCTCCCCTCCAGGCATGAATGCCTTGACTGCAAAGAGCCCACAAACAATCCTGAGAATCACTCTGGTCGAGGGGAAGTTGGGCACTAGGCTTTTCTTATTTTTCTGTTTGGTTTTGGTTTCCGTTTTTGCTGGAAGCCAACAGTCGCTGTGCTGCAGCTGCTGGCTTCACAGACGGGAAGCTATGTGGAGCCAGGGGACCCTCCTGGGTACTTTGTGTTTTCTGAAACCCACTCGTTTTTGTTTTATGTTTTAATGAAGGCCAAATAACGTGAGAGAAAAGGTCTTTTACTCTAGAACTGGAAAGTCAGTCTTGCTAGCATGTATTGCACACAGTGGAGCTTACTTGATTTCTTGCTCGAAGTTGGCCCAGGAGCACAGGGACGGCTGTGGCCTCACTAGTGGTAGGGCTGCCACGTGGTGGGAAGTGGGTCTGTGGAAGGGTGGTGTAGCTGGCAACCTTACATCCTTGAACCTGTAGGAAGTGTTTCGTTTTAGTTCTGATTTTCATTTTAAGAAACTGACAAACAGGCTTTTTGTTAAAAAAAGAAAGTGTAAACAACATAGAAGTAATTCTTTTTAATTGCATTTTTAAAATAGCTTCCAAGATTAACTGCCAGTATTGTAGATTAAAGCAGAGTTTCTTAAAGTCTGGGGTTTTCATTAGCTTGCGCTGAACAAGGTGCTGGCATTGCTGACCTCTCATTAGGGATTTCCTTGGTTCCATTTCCTGGTGACAGGTGTCGCAGTCATCCCCGTGCTGCAGAGAACGCTTCACTATGAGTGTATCGTTCTGGTGAAACAGTTCCGGCCACCAATGGGGGGCTACTGCATAGAGTTCCCTGCAGGTGAGTCACTCAACATCCAATTGCTGCTTAGGGATGTTGGCCTGAACCAGGGGAAAGCCTGAGAATCGCAAAGCTCAGCTCTGCAGTTTTTAATCTGTCCTGGTGGTTTTAAGTAAAACTAAACCATTTCGTAGCGAGGCCCCCAGGACACCCCAACAACCCTCTGAACCCGTGAAGGTGACACAAGGCCACCTCCCACCATCCCACCCTCCTCCTGGCAATGCTGCCTCCAGCCTTTTTTTTTTTTTTTTTGTGAGACGGAGTCTCGCTGTATCACCCAGGCTGGAGTGCGGTGGCGCGATCTCAACTCACTGCAACCTCCGCCTCCTGGGTTCAAGTGATTCTCCTGCCTCAGCCTCCCAAGTAGCTGGGACTACAGGCACATGCCACCACGCCCAGCTAATTTTTTTGTATTTTTAGTAGAGACGGGGTTTCACCGTGTTAGCCAGGATGGTCTCGATCTCCTGACCTCGTGATCTGCCTGCCTTGGCCTCGAAAAGTGCTGGGATTATAGGCGTGAGCCCCCGCACCCGGTCATCTCCAGCCTTTTGAGTAATTGCCCTTCCCCTTTTCAGCTTATTTCATTGTTTGTCATTAGCCATCGGCCTGACAGGAAATTTCCATTGATAAGTAGGCCAGGCTTTTTGTTGTTGTTATTGTTTTTCCTTTTTTGAGATGGAGTCTCACTCTCTCACCCAGGCTGGAGGCAGTGGTGTGATCTCAGCTCACTGCAACCTCCGCCTCCTGGGTTCAAGCGATTCTCCTGCCTCAGCCTCCTGAGTAGCTGGGATTACAGGCGTGCATCACCACACCTGGCTAATATTTGTATTTTTAGTAGAGACAGGGTTTCACTGTGTTGCCCAGGCTGGTCTCAAACTCCTGACCTCAGGTGATCCACCCACCTTGGCCCCGCAAAGTGTTGGGATTACAGGCGTGAACCACCGTGCCCAGCCTAGGCCAGGCTCGTAACTCCAAGAAATATGAATGGAGAAGACACTTTGCTCTGCTGTGTGGAAACAGGCCAAGGAGACTCTTCATTTTAGCTAGCATTTTTTTTTCCATTGCACAGTAATTAAAACTCTGAAGAATTTATTGCCCAATATTATTGTAGAACTTTATTGCAATATTCCCATCTAAAGAGATTCAATCTCATCTATTTGTTATTAGTGGCATATGATTATTATTATTATTATTATTATTTTTTTGAGACGGAGTCTTGCTCTGTTGTCTAGGCTGCAGTGCGGTGGCACAATCTCAGCTCACTGCAGCCTCCACCTCCCGGGTTCAAGAGATTCTCTTGCCTCAGCTTCCTAGTAGCTGGGATTATAGGCATGAGCCACCACGCCTGGCTAATTTTTGTATATTTAGTAGAGATGGGCTCTCATCATGTTTGCCAGATTGGTCTCAAACTCCTGACCTCAGGTGATCCACCCACCTTGGCCTCTCAAAGTGCTGGGATTACAGGCACCGTGCCCAGCCTCTGTTAGCTCCTATTCCTCCAAATGGACTGGCTATGACTTTATTATTAAAACAACAATAACAACAAAAGCATTATAAAGTAAATAAAATGAAGAGCCTTGGCCTCTCAAAGTGCTGGGATTACAGGCCTAAACTACCGCACCCAGCCAAGGTTTTCTATTTTAAAAGGCCAGCCAGTGGTAACATGGTTAACAACTATCATTTTTCTCATTTCCTCACCATTTTACTGAAGGCTATTTAATTACCTGTTTTGTTTTTTTTTTTTTGAGACAGAGTTTTGCTCTTGTTGCCCAGGCTGGAGTGCAATGGCATGATCTCGGCTCACCACAACCTCCACCTCCCGGGTTCAAGTGATTCTCCTGCCTCAGCCTCCTGAGTAGCTGGGATTACAGGCTTGTGCCACCACGCCTGGCTAATTTTGTATTCTTAGTAGAGACGGGGTTTCTCCATGTTGGTCAGGCTGGTCTCAGCCTCCCAAAGTGCTGTGATTATAGGCCTGAGCCCCCACGCGTGGCCGGGCTATTTAATTACTTTTAATATTAACATTAATAATTTATTCTCTGACTTTTTCTTTTTTCTTTGAGATGGGGTCTCTGTTGCTGAGGCTGGTGTGCTCTGGCACCATCACAGCCCATTGCAGCCTCAACCTCCCTGGGCTGAGGTGATCCTTCCACCACATTTTTTGTATTTTTTGTAAACATGGGGTTTCACCATGTTGCCCAGGCTGATCTCAAATTCCTTGGCTCAAGTGATCTGCCCACCTCAGCTTCCCAAAGTGCTAACATTACAGGAGTGAGCCACCATGCCCGGGCTCTTTTTTTGAGACTATGTCTAGCTCTGTTGTCCAGGCTGGAGTGCAGTGGTACAGTCACAGCTCACTGCAGCTTCGACCTTCTGGGCTCAAGTGATCCTCCTGCCTCGGCTTCCTGGGTAGCTGGGTCTGCAGGCGTGCATTACCACATTCAACTAATTTTTAAATTTTGTGTAGAGATGGGCTTTTGCTTGGCGCCCTGGCTGGCTCCAAACTCCTGGCCTCAAGTGATCCTCCTGCCTCAGCCTCCCAAAGTGTTGGGATTACAGGCGTGAGCCACTGCACCCAGCCTGAGTTTTTCTTTTCTTTTTTTTTTTTTTGAGATGGAGTTTCGCTTTTGTTGCCCAGGCTGGAATGCAGTGGCATGATTTCAGCTCACTGCAACCTCCGCCTAACAGGGTCAAGCAATTCTCCTGCCTCAGCCTCCCGAGTAGCTGGATTACAGGTGCGCACCAGCACACCTGGCTATTTTTTTGTTTTTTAGTAGAGACAGGGTTTCACCATGTTGGCCAGGCTGGTCTCGAACCCCTGACCTCAGGTGATCCACCCACCTCGGCCTCCCAAAGTGCTGGGATTACAAGTGTGATCAGCCTCATTATATTTAATTCCTTTCAGAAAACAAGAGTCTGCATTGCTGCTCCCTTCCTCTTCCTTGGCCTCTCTGTTCACTCCTCACAGTGGCCATGGGAGTCCCCTAACATCCACCAGTTTGCTCCTTTCTGGCCTTTCATTCCTGGGCCTCAGTGTTTTACCGGGAGGAAGACAAGACAGGTGATGCTGACAGCATCCTACATGTAAGGAAGCAGAATATGAACCGGCTTCCTGTGCTGCAGTCACACAGCAAGCTCCCAAGCCTAAGCCAGTTAGCCACCACCAAGTCACATCTCACAGATGCTTCCTGTGCTGTGCAGAGCAGCGTGGAGATGGTCAGGAAGGATCATGAAGGATCTGGGTCTGACTAGGATGACTGGGTGATGCCATCAGAACCTGATTCATCTGCTCAGAGTTATATTCTTTTGCCTTTTTGTTTCTATAAAAATTCCAAGCTGGGCACAGTGACTTAAGCCTGTAATCCCAGCACTTTGGGAGGCTGAGGTGGGTGAATCACTTGAGGCCAGGAGTTCGAAAGCAGCCTGGCCAACATGGTGAGACTAAAAATGCAAAATTAGCCTCTACGAAAAGTACAAAAATTAGCCAGGCGTGGTGGTGTGTACCTGTGGTTCCAGCTACTCGGGAGGTTGAGGCAGGAGAATCATTTGAACCTGGGAGGCAAGAAGTTGCAGTGAGCCAAGATTGCAGCACTGCACTCTGGCCTGTGCGACAGTGAGACTCTATCTTAAAAAAAAAAAAAAAAAAAAAAAGTTCCAATCCTCAGGTTTTTCTGTAAGACCACTTTTCACAGTGCTCTGATACTTCTAACGCAGTGCAGTAGCAGCTGTGTTAGAATGAGGGGTTCAGCCAGGCGCGGTGGCTCACACTTGTAATACCAGAACTTTGGGAGGCCGAGCGGGTAGATCACGATGTCAGGAGTTCAAGACCAACCTGGCCAATATGGTGAGATGCCAATATGGTGAAACCCCGTCTCTACTAAAATTACAAAAAATTAGCTGGGCATGGTGGCAGGTGCCTGTAATCCCAGCTACTCCGGAGGCTGAGGCAGAGAACTGCTTAAACCTGGACAGGCGGAGGTTGCAGTGAGCCGAGATCACACCACTGCACTCCAGCCTGGGCAACAGAGCGAGACACCATCTCAAAAAAAAAAAGAAGAAGAAGAAGAATGAGGGGTTCAAAGAACCGGATTTCCCGCTCCCATCATATCAATGATTGAACTTACAGGTCTCATAGACGACGGTGAAACCCCAGAAGCAGCTGCTCTCCGGGAGCTTGAGGAAGAAACCGGCTACAAAGGGGACGTTGCCGAATGTTCTCCAGGTTGGTATTACTTGAAAATTCACCAAGCAATAGATTCCTCAGTATGGGAAAGGATGGATTATTTGGGTGTTCTTTATGCTCAGAATTAACTGAAGAGAAATCATAGATTAGGACTGGTCACTGAGTGTAAGTGAATCTCCCCGCCCAGGAGGAAACTGGAGCCAGAAAGGCCTGAAGTTGGGGGAGAATTAATGAAATTAAATTGCCTTTTGGCTGAGTGCGGTGGCTCACGCCTGTATTCCCAGCACTTTAGGAGGCCAAGGCAGGTGGATCACCTGAGGTCACGAGTTCAAGACCAGCCTGGCCAACATGGTAAAGCCCACCCATCTCTACTAAAAATACAAAAATTAGCCAGATGGCACACACCCGTGATCCCAGCTACTCGGGAAACTGAGGCAGGAGAATTACTTGAACCCAGAGGGCAGAGGTTGCAGTCAGCCGAGATCACGCCAGTGTACTCCATCCTGGGCAATAAGAGCAAAGTGAAACTCTGTTTCAAAAGACAAATAAATTGCCTTTGGAATTTCCCACACCCTGAGTTTTATTGCTCACCCACCTCATCCATGTGCTACCCTCATCACTGGAAGATTTTTTGAGTTTGATGCAGTGAAGGGTTTTACAACTTGTCAGTACCATCTAACCCCGCAGACCTAGCAAGCTGGACTCGGGCGCTCTGGGGAGAATGAGTGTACCCAGATGCTTTGCAGCCTGCAGGTCCGCCTACCAAATGTGAGAACTAGTTTTCCTGCATCACCTCCACATCAGCGCTGAGCTGCGAGACGCATCTTCTTCCTAAGACCGTAGTGAAACAAATGCCAAAGGGACTGACGCATCTGACTGTCCCTTCTCTCCACAGCGGTCTGTATGGACCCAGGCTTGTCAAACTGTACCACACACATCGTGACAGTCACCATTAATGGAGATGATGCCGAAAACGCCAGGCCGAAGCCAAAGCCAGGTATGTGCGCGTCGGCTGTGTTGAAGGTGGTGCGGTTGCATTACGTGTCTTGGAACTTGCTGCTAGTTTGATTTATTAAAAGAATGTAGTCTTTCATAGAAAGAATTGGTCTTTCAAACAGACTTCATCAATATTCTTGTCTCTTCCTAATCATGTATTTTAGCATTTTTCTTTTGCCACTTCACTGATCTTTATGCTTTCTTTGTAAAAAAAAAAAAAAAAAAAAAAAAGTTAAATGACATATTTCCCTGTTTTCTATATGAAGTGTATTCCCACTTAGTAAGATGAGCTGCAGGCTTAAATAGTGAACAGTGAGAAACTTAAATCACCCCGGTTTCCGTCTTCACGTGTATTGTAAGAATGGCGTCAGTTCCCCTGTAGTCCCAGCTGCCCTGGAGGATGAGGCAGGAGGATCACTTAAGCCCAGGAGTTGGAGGAGCTATGATGGCGCCACTCCGTGACAGAATGAGACCATGTCTCTCTTAAAAAAAAAAAAAAAAAAAGGCCTAAGTAATTGTTAAGGGGCAGCAGCTTATTCAGTATTTCTCTTCGCTCTATAATATCCTTAGCAACTTTGGATTCAAAAGCTGTTAATGTCTCTGTCAGTTCCGTGTTGTCTCCCATCCTTTTAAAGGGGGTATTTATAGGTGCACCACAGTAAATCAGTATCCGTGATATTCTTTAATTTCTTACTCTCTTCAGTTGTTCATATTTAAGTTTCAGTATCCCACTGCAACTAATTTTAAGTCTTATTTTTTGCCGGGCACGGTGGCTCACGCCTGTAATCCCAATACCTTGGAAGGCTGAGGTGGGCAGATCACTTGAGGTCAGAAGCTCGAGATCAGCCTGGCCAACATGGCGAAACCCCATCTCTACTGAAAATACAAAAATTAGCTGGGCGTGGTGGTGGGTGCCTGAAGTGCCAGCTACTTGGGAAACTGAGGCACAAGAACCGCTTGAACCCAGGAGGCGGAGGTTGCAGTGAGTCAAGATCCCGTCACTGCGCCACTGCACTCCAGCCCGGGCTACAGAGTGAGACCCTGTCTCCAATAACTAAATAAATAAATAAATCTTAATTTTTGAACTGCACATATAACACACTGTGGAAAAGTTTGGCAGTTCCTCAGAATATTAGATACAGGATTATTATATGATCTGGCATTTCAGCTCCTAAGTCTACACCCAGAAGAACTGAAACAGGGACTCAGACACGTGTGTGCCTGTGTTCATGGCAGCCTCTGTGGAAACAGCCCAAGTGTCTGCCAGCAGATGGATGCGTGCACAAAATGTAATATACACACAAACACACACACACGCTGAAACATGCGGTAACATGATGGGCAAATACTGTGATTCTACTTATGTGAGGTGCCCAGAATAGACAAACTGGTAAGAGGAAGACAGTAGAGTAAGGGCTACTAGGGATGGGGAATTAGTGTTGAGTGGATCCTGAGTTTCTGTTGGGTGTCATGAAAAGTTCTGCAGATGGATACTGGTGGTGGTTGCGCACCATTCTGAATGTTACTCAGTGCCACTGAATTGTACCTTTGTAGTGGTTAAAATGTTTTTATATGTTCTGTATATTTTACCACAATATGGAGATTCATATCTATAAAAAATATACATCTTATCGAATATGCTTTAAATGTTGCCACTTAACATTATGTGGAGAACAATAACTTCATACTGCTCGAGTTTGACAATGTCTATAAATTAAGTGAGCAGAGACCCAGGTTTCTGTGAAATTCTTAAAGCCTTTTTGACGCCTCTTGCATAAAAGTCTTCCCATGTGACCGCTCCAGGCCTTGCTGAAATGTTCTCCTTCTGTTTATTTCCAGGGGATGGAGGTATGTTCCACAGCTCCTCGTGACCGAGTGTGTACGGCTTGTTGTAGTGGTGATGGCTGCAGACAGTTTGAGTTGTTTTGGTAGGCGCTTGACGTTAGCTTGGTTTTCACTTGCACTTTGTCTGTTTAGAATTTGTGGAAGTCATATCTTTACCCAAGAATGACCTGCTGCAGAGACTCCATGGTAAGCATTCTCCAGACTGCCACCCAGCTTTCTCCAGTTTTCCCCGTCCCCATCCCAGCAAATTGGGTACTAAATATAACTCCGTATCTTTCTCTTTTTGATACCACTAAAGTCAAATGCCTGGCAACTTGTAAAACTTGCAGGTGACCACTACTAATTTTCCTTTCTGGGTGGCACAGAATTTGAAAGTAGAAGCAAAGCATTCTGGGTCAAGTGCAAACTTTTGGTAGGGGCTTTTTCTCCTACATAGCGGCCCAAATGACATTCCTGCTGAGTAGCCAAAACGATTCTACACTTTAAACCTTCAATCCATAGTGATGCAAAGGTGTGGGTAGAGAAGCTGTTAGCTTTTCCTCGAGTATGCTAGTATGAGGGACAATCCTTTGTGGAGGCTATATGTTCGAGGAGAAATTGATGATACTCCAACAAATACTTGAGGTATTTCCTGTATACTTGGTGTGATACACTTTTCACATAACACACCAGACTAGCTGTGTGGCCCTTAGAAATCACCGGTCATAGGCTGGGTGCGGTGGCTCACACCTGTAATCCCAGCACTTTGGGAGGCCGAGACGGGCAGATCACAAGGTCAGGAGATCGAGACCATCCTGGCTAACACGGTGAAACCCCATCTCTACTAAAAATACAAAAAACTAGCCGGGTGTGGTGGCGGGCGCCTGTAGTCCCAGCTACTCAGGAGGCTGAGGCAGGAGAATGGTGGGAACCTGGGAGGCGGAGTTTGCAGTGAGCCGAGATTGCGGCACTGCACTCCAGCCTGGGTGACAGAGTGAGGCTCCGTCAAAAAGGAAAAAAAAAAAAAAGAAATCACTGGTCATGGAGATGCATTGTATACTTCCTGGCCACCCATCTTTTAGGGACTTTGTAAACAGTAGGTAAGCTTACGGAGAGAAAACTCCTTTGATAAAACCACGAGAGGAGATACGGTATGGAGACATGGCATGGGCCTTTCAAGGAGCGCCTCCGTACGGGCTGGCAAATCCCTGTCACTCTTCCAGAAAGAAGCAGACACTTTTCATCACGGGAATATTGTATTGGGTATAAGTGTTTTAGGTAATTGACACCTGATTTTTCTACTGTTTTCAAGTGATTACTTCAAATGTGACTTGAAGCATTGTTTGGCCTGAAGCTTGAAGACCAGTTTCTTAAGCTTTTCCCCGAGTGTCAGCGGCTTACAGTTTCACTGAATAAGCAGGGTGCCTGGTTTTGAAATGTCTGTTATTTGTTTGAAAATCTGAGTGTGTCTTTCAAAGGCTGCTGTGATTTATGTGGATAAAATCAGATTTCAGATCCCTCGACAGCTTCCACTCCGGCTTCACCTTTCCAAAAACTAGGTCTAAGGTAGAGGCCACTTGGACAGCTCAAAGCCAGAGTTAGAATAATCATACTGAATAGATACAATAATTTATCTGGCATGTATTTAGAGAAAGGCGTGACAGTCAGTACGAGGCAGCGCAGCTCAGAGTCCCAGGCCCGACTCGGTTTGGGGCTCCGCGGACCACAATTAGCCGTCACGTCAAACAGGTTCCGAAGCCTCGCTTGGCTTTTTTCATCAAACAGGAACAATAACAGCCCCTCCCTTTGAGGAGGTGTGTGGAAAGTAGGGTGACGTAGGCAAGTGTGAAATGCCATGCGGGGTTATCTTTTAGTAGAAGAGTATCCTTTTTTAAAAATGTCTTCCTTCTCCCTTCCACCTTCTTAACTTCCCTTTTGGTCTTAGAAGAGGGAGAAAAAATAGAATGAGTGAGGTAAGTGAGGGGAGGTGGAGAGAGGGCGACTGTGGCTATAAAGGAGGAGGGATAAAAGAACCGAAGTGCCTAGCTTTAGTAGAATCAAAACGTAGTAATAAAACCATTTATTCAACAAGCAACATTTGAGAAGTCGGAAGGAAGGTATTACACTTTAAGATCAGTTTGCTGGCTGGGTGTGGTGGCTCACACCTGTAATCCCAGCATTTTGGGAGGCTGAGGTAGGCTGATCACTTGAGGTCAGGAGCTCCAGACCAGCATGGCCAACATGGTGAAACCCCATCTCTACTAAAAATACAAAAATTAGCCAGGCGTGGTAGTGCATGCTGGTAGTCCCAGCTACTCAGGAGGCTGAGGCAGGAGAATCGCTTGAACCCGGGAGGCGCAGGTTGCAGCGAGCCAAGATCGTGGCACTGTACTGCAGCCTGGTGACAAAGCGAGACTCCATCTCAAAAATATAAAAAATAAATAATAATTTAAAAAAAGATCAGTTTGCCACAGAGTAGCATCTGCCAGTTACTAAGCACCTGCTATGCCCAGGTGAGTAGGACATGCTCCCTGCCTGCAAAGGTCCCCAAGCTTGTTCCCAAACAAGCGGCTAGGAAAACAAGAGGCTGATTTTACATCTGGCAACCTCCATCTGAGTGAAACAGAAATTTTAATGAAAGCCTGTGGTAATAAGGTCCTGAGACCTCATTCTTGGTAGTGTATCTCCAGTCCTAACACGCACACAGTTTAACTTGCCCGGGGAAAATATGTATCCCCTAGCAGCAGCAAAGACGGAATCCCTAAGATCCTACATAATCAGCACCATCTCGTTTCAGAACAGCACAGCCCTACCCCAGCTGTCAATGAGGTCTAGTGACTGGCTCTAAACACTTCCAACTTTACTGTTCCAACACATCAAATCATCATCCCTGATGTTCTTGTCTCATGCTAGGAATGTAATCTTGCCTTTATAGTCTTTATTCTTTAAGATCCTTATAGGCAAAAAAAAAAAAAAAAAAAAGTATCGCCAGCATCTAGCATAGGAACTGGCATATAGTACTTGCTCCGCAAATGCTGATTGAATAAGATGTTTTGTCCTTCCTTCATGGTGTGGTCTAAGTTGTTTTCTTTGCTTTCCACAGCGCTGGTAGCTGAGGAACATCTTACAGTGGACGCCAGGGTCTATTCCTACGCTCTAGCGCTGAAACATGCCAATGCGAAGCCATTTGAAGTGCCCTTCTTGAAATTTTAAGGCCAGATATGACCCTGGCCATTTTTGTAAGCAAGACCACCAGGCCTTCTTCACTAAGACTTTGTGTTCAACTTAGTTCCGTGTAGCTTTGCCATTAGCTTTTCCTAAAATAAAAGCACAGAACAGATGTGGTGGTGGTATGGAATTGCAATTACAGGTAGGTTGTGACCCTCATTTCAATAACTCCAGTTAAAATTAACAAAAAAGAAGATAAATGCAAGTACGTTTACTCCAGTTTTTTTAAGCTCAACAGCAGTTAACTACAGCTCAGTTACTTTTCTAGTCTAGTCTGGTAGACAGGGATATTTGTACAGGAAAACAGACCTGAGTTCCCAATTAGGTCAACTATTTCCACTCTCAATCCCCACTGTAAAATTCTGTAGCTGGGCATGCAAATAACCGTGTACTCCATTGGTGTTTAAAACGGCGTTAAAATGAAAAAAAGACTCTTTGGCCTCTTCTAATTGAATTTTTACTATCTAGGGTAGTTGAATCCACCTAGGGTAGGATTCAGTAGAATCCGCAACTAGTTTAAGTCCACCTATTTACTGAAGCTGAACCAGCTAATTTTAAGTAAGGAAAATGGTTGATTCCATTCACTACACCGAGGCTAGGAGAGTAATGAAAATTCAGGGCCATCCCTCAAGCATCTGCACATACTTGAGGATCTCTTTTCCTATCTTTACCTCAAAGAGTACTTGAAGTTTCTAAAAACAAATCCATAAGACCGATATGGTTTGGGGCAGTAATATCTTGATGTTAAACCATGAACAGAACCAGCAAGATGAGCCAGTATGTGAAACCCAATACAGAGTACTTCAGAGCAAGAACTACAGATTGATGTGGTTCCCATTTCATTCCAGCCTGAAACCCTGTCATCCAGCAGTTCTACCAGTGTTCCTGGGCCATTTTCTTAGCCTCTTGAGTGAGTTTAGCTCTTTTTGTGTTGACTTTTAGGGCCTCCAGCAGCTCCACGATTTTCCAGGACTTTCCAGTCTGGCCCCCACAGAAGTCTCAGGACGATTCCCATCCAGCCCTAAGTCATGTTTCTAGCCTGGCTCCAGTGGGTAAGCCAGGCCCTACGAACCAGATGAAAGGGCTCTCCAGATAAAATCAGGGTGCTAATGCCAGAATGCTACAGAGTATCCATTTGTCAACAGGCTCACTGTCTGAGCCCAGGATATTTTTCTGAGTGAAACTGTTAAGATCTTTACACTGGACTTCCTAAAGATAAAACAATTATGGAAATACAGAACTTTATAGATGAAGCTGTCTAGCCCTATACATGTGAAAATTAAGATCCAACTACTTCCTATAATGGTAGCCTTCCCCTGTGCCTCTAACCCTTTTTCAAATCCTGATTTCAATCACAGGCATTGTGATTCTTCACAGCTCTAACTCTTCTTAGCTCTCAAAGCCACAGGCTATCGTTGAAATCGAGAGAGAAGCGCAGCCCAGTCTTTCCACATAGCCCAGTTCCTCCCCAGCCACTCCCCATGGAATGACCTCTGCAGCTGACCCTTATCCTCTCCTTCTTCCTAAGAGTGCCACTTAGAAGTGAGAGCCAAATCCTAGGATGTATCCCTAAATGCCACTTCTATTTTTTATAAACATGAAAAGGTTGTGCTTTGGAAATTCAGTCTGTTTGAGAACTGGCAGTCTGGCTGGCACTGTTTTAAAATGTTTATTTGCCCTGCATTGAAAAACTGAAGGTTTCCTATTATTAAAAGCCATATTTCCACCTTCTTTAGGGAAAAAAAATCGGACATCATAACACTGGGTCGATGTTTTTATGGTAACAGTGGTCTGAGGCCCTAGGTGGATGCTCTCCGAGCCATTGTTAACATCCTGCCTGCCTTCATCTGCCTTGCCCCTGCGATTATTTGGCTTTCTAAGCATAAGCTACATAAGACATACTACACTTAAGAAACTAAACAGCAATGAAAACCCATACTTCTGAAAAGGGTGGCTTTTAAAAATTAAGTCTGATCTTTTAGGAAATAAAGCACATAGTTTTCAAAATGATTTACCAAGAACTATGCTTTTAAATGGAGACTGGGATATGGTTTTGAGATCACTGTTTTCCTGTTTCCTCCCCAATGTTAGTCACATATATGATTACCCGTAAGTCGGTCACTGTCCGTCAATAATTTAGGATTAAAGTTTGAAGTGTAATTACATTTGACTTTTATAGGCATCTCAGGGTGGACTTCTTATAAATACACTGAACTTATACAAATTATCTTAGAAAATGTTTAATATCAGATTTATTTTTTTCCAACACAACTGAGTCAGTTTTCTTAAATAAAATTTATTGTCTACTGTTTACACTCATGTTGCTGCTGTGAGTACAACAGACACAAATTCCTAGCATGAATTACTCATTGTTCACCCCCACTAACTACAGACCTTGCTTGAGAATTAGATCTTTTTGCTTTAGGGATTTAAACAGAAAAGAATCAGGGCCTAGTATCTTGAAAGAGTATTGTCAAGTGACTGGTTGGAGTTAGAAGGCATGGCCAATACAGGCAAACAGCACGATGATGCTGTCACTAGGAAGGGAGGAGGAGGTGGAGGAGCCTTAGAAGCAGTTGTTTCTAGTGACAGAAATAACTGGACACTTGATTTTGCCCATGTGGGCTAAGTGGCTGCTTTGAGAAGGGACAAATAAAAATGAGGTGGGGTGGGGAGTAGGGATACCATGAGTTAAAAAAGTATAAAAAGTAATTATCTAAAATATAGATTAGATATAAATGTTCCAGAACTCATTAAATAAGCTCAAAAATACTGGAAAGTGGCAATTTGAACTACATTTATTTTTAAACAAGTGGGGGCAATATTAAGTGTTTTGAATGTTATGTGCAAAACGAATCCATGTCACCATCTCACTGTCATGATTTAACACAGCAAGGTAGATACATTGGTTTCCAGCATTACAGGCAACACTAGATGTACTTTTTTTAAATGAATAATGTAAACTTGAGTTTTAAGGCAGCGGGTACTAATGCTGCACACAGACTTAGCTCGGTGCCCGTTTCAGAGACGGGTCAGCCAGCACTCGAAACAAGAAACTGAGGGGAGAAAAGGGGAATCACCAGTGTCATCTGACAAAAGCGATCCATCCAGATGTTCTCCCTTTCACACGCACAGAATGAAGTCTTTGAACATTCAGAAAAACAAAGCACCCATGCCACCAACTTCGGCCTGTTCTTTCACAAAGATTTCAAAATACTGATAAATAATAGTGACTGCCAGCAGGATTCCAGTGCCGGACCCAATGGCCCCCAGGAAGTCGGCCAGCACCGACAGGGCGCCGATGCACAAACCGCCAAAGGCAGCCGCGGTGGGGATGTACCTAGGAGACAAAACCCCGAGTTAGGCAGCAGCAGAGACCAGGAACAGCACAGCAGCTACAGACGAAAACAGGTCGAGGTGCAGCAGCCACAGCTGGGTCTAAAGCCTCCCTGAACTCCAGGCGGAACGGACTGCTGTATGGAGGGCTCTGCAGGACGCGGCGTGGGGACGGCAGCTCTGACCCAGGCAAAGACTCTGACCTTAATTTCCAGAAACCGGTCAACAGCCAAGAAAGACAATATATGATCTTACAGGAGATGAGATTCCTGGACAGATTTAAATATTAAGATGTTTAAGATTTTTAAATGAGTAACCTTTCGTTCCCTCTTGTGGAATGAAGAGTATCAACAAATTTATGTCATAAGATTCTGCAAATCCACTTAAATAATTCAACCTTGGCTGCACAGTAGAATCACCTGGAAAACTTAAAAATGGAATTTAAAATACTGAAAAAACATTAAAGGCGGTGAGAGGTGAAACAAGAATAGCAGGATGATGACAACTGGAGCTGGAGATCCATCATACTGTTCTGCAGTCTGTGTTCTAAATAAATAAAAAGTTTAAGGAAAAATACTGGTGCCTTTTCAACAAGTGGTGCTGGGACAACTGATGCCCCCATACAAAAGAAGGAATCTGGATCCCACCAGGCATGGTGGCTCACGCCTGTAATCCTAGCACTTTGGGAGGCCAAGGCAGGCAGATGATTAGGTCGGGAGTTCAAGACCGGCCTGGCCAACATGAGGAAACCCTGTCTCTACTAAAAATACAAAAAGTAGCCGAGCGTGGTGGCGCATGCCTATAATCCCTGCTACTCAGGAGGCTGAGACAGGAGAATCGCTTGAACCCAGGAGGTTGAGGTTGCAGTGAGCCAAGATGGTGCCACTGCACTCCAGCCTGGGCAACAAAGCGAGACCCTATCTCAGGAAAAAAAGAAAAAAAAAAGCTGACTGGCCATGGTGGCACACACCTGTGGTCCCAAGCTACCCTGGAGGCTGAGGTGGGGAGGATTGCTTGAGCCCAAGATGGGGAGGCTGCGGTGAGCCGTGATTGTGCCTCACTTCACATCCACTAGGATGGCTGAAATTAAAAAGCCAGAGCTAGTGCTGGCGAGGACAGGCAGCAGTGGAACCTCATATACTGCTGGTGGGAATGTGGACGGGAGCAGCCACCCTGGAAGACAGCTGAGCAGCTCCTCAAAATGTTCAACACAGAGTCAGTTACCATGTGACCCAACAATTCCACTCCTTGAGAAATGAAAACATCCACACAAAATCTGTACAAGTATGTTCACAACAGCATTATTCATAAAAAGTGGAAACAACCCACATTTCTATCAAGTGATAAAGCGTGGTAAAGCCCCACAATCGAGTCTTATTCATGAAAAGAATTCAGCACGTGGACTGTGAAAACATGATGCCAAGTGAAAGCAGCCACTTACAAAACAACACACATTGTATGATTCCATTTACATGAAATGTGCAGAAGAGGCACATCCGTAGAGACGAAGGTAAAAGTGACTGCCTGGGGCTGGTGGTTGGGCGGGTGGGCCAGTAGGTACAGGGTTTCCTTCTGGGTGGTGACAATGTGTTTAAAATCAAACTTAGGAATGTTCAAGTCTGAATATACTAAAAAACACTGGACAACATACTTCGGGTGAGTGAATTACATGGTATCTGAATTTTATCTCAATAAAGCTGTTACCAAAAAAATGAAACCCTGATGTCTGGAACTCACCCCAGACCAAATAAGTCACAATTCCTGGGAAATCCTTTTTAAAAGTTCTCTGGTGATTTTATGTGCAGCCAGCCAATGCTGAGAACAGCACTAATCTGCAAGATTTTATCACTGGGATGAGCAGAGCAGTCACCACAATTTCAATTAATAATTCAGTTGTCGGTTTTGACATGGAAAACAAGTTCTTTGTGAAATTCTGATTCATTTGTCTGAGTGGAAGGGCTTTAAATATGAACTTGAACAAAGAAAAACATTTAGCCATCACTGAAAGACTAAAACACAAACACAGGCCTGGAAAAGCGTCCATCTAGCGGCCTTACCTATTAAGCTCATGAACCATAGAGGTATCCCGGTGGCCCCTCATTACCATCTGCTGTTCTTTCAGCTGTTTAGCTACCTGCCGAGAGAAAAGCTACTCTGAAAATCCAACTCCAACATTTCACTGCTTACATCTACCACGTTCTATGTGAAGTGCTTCCCACACACTAACAAGTAACATACAGTAACCTGAAAGTTACATTGTCATATCATTCACATGAAGCCTGAGGAAACCAAAGTTTCAGCGCCACTCCATTCCATGTTAACCATATGAAACCAGTGCTTCTCAACCCTTCTTCCATTACCAAACAAGATTTTGTTTTGCAGGAGGGTTGCAAACCACTGTAACAGCTAAGAATTTTTTACCTTTTGGGAACCAACTTTTAGCCCATTGGGGTGACACTGACTCATTAAAAATGTATAAAGTTTAAGTTATAAAGGAGTGTATCAACTACTATTTTGACAATTAAATATGAATTTTCCAAAAACAAAGGTTTTACTTTTTTTTTGAGATGGAGTCTCGCTGTCGCCCAGGCTGGAGTGCAGTGGCGTGATCTCGGCTCACTGCAAGCTCCGCCTCCCGGGTTCACGCCATTCTCCTGCCTCAGCCACCCAAGTAGCTGGGACTACAGGCGCCCACCACCGTGCCCAGCTAATTTTTTGTATTTTTAGTAGAGACGGGGTTTCACCATGTTAGCCAGGATGGTCTCGATCTCCTGAACTCGTGATCCACCCATCTCGGCCTCCCAAAGTGCTGGGATTACAGGCGTGAGCCACCGCGCCCGGCCTATTTTACTTTTTAAAAAATTTTTTATTTATCTATTTATTTATTTTGGAGACGGAGTCTAGCTCTGTCGCCAGGCTGGAGTTCAGTGGCACAATCTCGGCTCACTGCAACTTCCCACTCCCAGGTTCAAGCGATTCTCCTGCCTCAGCCTCCTGAGTGGCGTGAGCCACTGTACCCAGCCTTTTTTATTTTTTTGAGACAGGATCTCACTCTGTCACCCAGGCTGGAGTGCAGTGGTGCAATCTTGGCTCACCGCAACCTCCACCTCCTGGACTCAAGTGTTAATCCTCCGTCTGAACCTCCTAAGTAGCACCACCATGCCTGGCTAATTTTTTTTTTTTTTGTATTTTTTAGTCATGACGGGGTCTTGCCATGTTGTCCAGGCTGGTCTCAAAACTCCTAAGCTCAAGCGATCCAGCTGCCTCAGCCTCACAAAGTGCTACGATTACAGACGTGAGCCACCACGCATCGCCAAGAGTTTTATTTTAAAATAAACCAAACACTTACATCTTTGGCTGAGGAGCCAGACACTTCAATCCATGTCTTAGAGAAAAATGCGCATGATCCCAACATGAAGATGATATAAACAACGACATGGACGGGATCCTCAAAGATGGCGCCCATGGACTCGGGAGGAGAAAGATAGTAACACAGGCCTCCAACTGGGTAAGAACGTGCGGGTCCTCCCCCACTGACATCCTACAGAACAGGGGTACAAAGAACAAGTGGTCAACCTAATTAGGAATACATTTGTATGACACTTCACACTTCTCAGAAAGGACAGTGTTTTAAGTTCAAGGCATGTACAGCTAGTCATTCTGTGTAGCTTCAGAATATCCTCTTGTGTCTAATACCTTCACTCCTTCAAAGTTACACAATGAGCACCTGTTACATGCAAGATACTGAAAATATATTATGAGTCATTTTTAAAAATTGTAATATATTACAAAATCTTCCATTACTGAAAACAGGAATATGATTACATTTACAATCGACCTCTGATTATACTGAAAATCTGAAAATTTCTGAGCTATGAGCATCCAGTCAGAATATTCAGATCCCTATGAGTGATCCTTCCATATGAAAATAGTAATGCAATCAACTAAAATATTGACATAAGACTTTAACTTGCTGCCTAAATTTTATGTGGCTTGTATGTTATTATAAGGAGTAATCTTTTAATAAGTATAATAACTGGATTTTTATCTACACACTTAAAAAGTCTTATAGAAATAGGAACAGTATTATTTGCTCATATTAAATAAAGTTTTGGGGTATACAGATAGGGGGTGAGAAACCAATTTTTAGTTGCAATGATTACAGTACCTGGTTCTTGAATTTATGACTGCCAAATGCTTTCTTTACTGTGCCCCTGGAATCACTAATCCCAGATCAAAAGCACTATCTCCCAATAATTCTCTCATTAAGAAGAAGCTTACTCAAGGCCATAACACAATTTGTACAGGACCAACTACTCAAAGCACTAACACTAGGAAATTCTCATCAGAGTAATAACTACTCCTGGACTATTCTGAGGAGGACAGAAACACCATTCTTCTTACTCCCGTCTCTAACTTTCCTGTCCTCGTTATAACATTAGCCAGAATACAACAGGTCACATTTGTGTTAAATGAATGGAAAAGAAGTATTATGAATAAAGGGAATCCTATTCCCTTCAACTGATACATAAGAGTTACTGTCTTACTCTCTTTAAAAAAAAAAAAAAAGCAATTTCTTTAAATGGCATTCAGTCAAAGCAGAAAGGTATAATGAAAAAGCAGAGGTATAATGAAAAAGTATATGAAGACAAATGCACAGAATAAACACCATATTGCAAGAATAACTGTACAAGAAAATACCATTCTTTGGTGGGGCGCAAATTCTAGAATTACATACTGTGGCAAAGAATAAAGGACATTAGTCTTTTAAAATTCTATTATTTTTGAGACACGGTCTCACTCTGTCACCCAGGCTGGCATGCAGTGGTATGATCATAGCTCACTGTAGCTTCGAACTCCTGGGCTCAAGCGATCCTCCCACCTCAGCCTCCTGAGAAGATAGGACTACAGGCACGTAACACTGTACCCAGCTAGTTTTTAAATTCTTTTGTAGAGATGGGGTCTCACTATGTTGCCCAGACAGGTCTCCAACTCCTGGCCTTTAAGCTATCCTCTCTACTTGGTCTCCCAAAGTGCGGGGATTACAGATGAGAGCCAACACTTCTGGCTAAAATCTGTAATTTTAAGAGGGAAAATGCCCCTTTGTTAGGTGACAGAATTTCAACCTATGAAAATTCAGTCCCACAGTAACTCACGCTTCAATAACAAAGTGGCTAGACTGCTTTAAAAAAAATTATGACAAGGGGGATGTATATGAGAATGTACAGGATTATATCACTAGCAACACCGCTGTCTCTACCATCTAGTTAACAGCATGCCTGTCTCTAGCCCAGCTCATCACAAGCTGGTTTACTGCCATTCAGACCTTGAAAAATGGAGGAGGCCTGGAGGCAGGGTGGGAGATAGGAAAGGATAGGATGAGTCCAGTATCTCATATGTTAGCAGCACAAATAGCAGTTTTTATTTTTAGGTTTTGGAGACAGAGTCTCGTTCTGTCACCCAGGCTGGACTGCAGTGGCATGATCTCGGCTCACTGCAACCTCCATCTCCCGGGTTCAAGCAATTCTCCTGTCTTGGCCTCCTGAATGGTTGGGACTACAGGCATCTGCCACCATGCCTGGCTAATTTTTGTATTTTTAGTAGAGATGGGTTTCACCATGTTGGCCAGGCTGGTCTCGAACTCCTGACCTCAGGTGATCCACCTGCCTCAGCCTCCCAAAGTGCTGGGATTACAGGAGTGAGCCACCGCGCCCAGACAGCAAAGAGCATTTTTTAGAAAACATTATTATAGACAATACTGGAATAAGATGACAAAATAGGAAATTACTTTTATGAAATCAACCACAATTTTAGCTTAAAAGGTCATTCAAATGAGATGTGAAAGTGCTTCCTAGACAGCAAAATAATAAAAAGCACTTCGGCAATCTTAACTTCTGCAACACTTACCAGTTCTTCCAGATAGGTACTAAACTCTGCTATATAGGTAAGTGAATCTGAAAATATTATAGCAAATGCTCCAATGTTGACCTCATTCCATTAAAAATACAACCATGAAATGCAAATTATAATCAACTTTAAATAATATAAATAAACATAATACTCACGGCCCACTGTCCTAGTAAATTTACTAAAAAGTTGCCACTAAATCGAACAGACAGCATCTGGGAAATAACATACAGGTTTGACACCAAGGCCGACTGGAGGATGATGGGGATGTTGGAGGTGTAGAAGAGTTTGATGGGGTAGCTGCTGTACTGTCCTCGGTAGCGGGCCGATTTAATGGGCAAGTCAACGCGAAATCCCTAAAAAAGGAAACCAAGAGTAAGTGGGGGAACTAGACACATTAAGAAAAGAACAGACCAGAGAGGGAAAACAAAGAACAGTGGGGAGGATGAAAAGACAATGCCGGCCGGGTGCGGTGGCTCATGCCTATAATCCCAGCACTTTGGGAGGCAGAGGCAGGCGCATCCTGAGGTCACGAGATCAACACCATCCTGGGCAATGTGGTGAAATCCCATCTCTACTAAAATACAAAAAATTAGCCAGGCGTGATGGCGGGCACCTGTAGTCCCAGCTATTCAGGAAGCGGAGGCAGGGGAATCGCTTGAATCCGGGAGGCGGAGGTTGCAGTGAGACGAGATTACGCCACTACACTCCAGCCTGGCGACAGAGCAAGACTCCATCTCAAAAAAAAATAAAAAAATAGCCTGGTGTGGTGGCACATGCCTGTAATCTCAGCTACTCAGGAAGCTGAGGCAGGAGAATCACCCGAACCCAGGAGCTGGAGGTTGAAGTGAGCTAAGATCGCGCCACCGCACTCCAGCCTGGGCAACAAGAGCAAAATTCTCAGGGAAAAAAAAAGCAAAGAATGCTAACAAAGATGCTCTGCCTTTTAAAGTGTCGAGACTCTGCTTCCTGCTGATGGGCCAAAACAAAAACCAAAAAAGTACAGAGACTCCAATATTTCACACCCTAAAATCAGAGTCTGGAGACTCGAATTGCAAAATTGTATTTCCCCTGATCTTAAACTCTGACTTGTCAAACACGAGCATGTCAGATGGCATTTTCTTCCAGAGCACAGTGAAAGTCTACATCCCACTTACTGTGGTGAAAAGATTGTACTTACTTGGAAATATATAACAACAGCAAACACAAAAACTGTAGCAATGAGGTTCATGAGATTGGGTAAGTTCTGCCGGTAAAAAGCCTCCCGTAAAGCTCGGACTTTGTCCGTCCTGGTGGCCAACAAATGGAACAGAGCTATGACTGCGCCCTCGAACTCAGTACCTGTAAAATCAAGACAGACACGACCTGTGGACTCATTGTCCAAAGCTGTCCCAAAGCTCAAACAAATAACTGTGAAAGTCCAGTATACAGCAGAAAATATGAGTCAAAAGAATTCGCCAATGTTTGCTTTATGATATAGCCATGTGAGCAGGTTCTACAAATATTTAGATCATTGAGGCAAATCTATCTTTTTATAGCATAAATCTGAAGTTTTCTCAAGAGACTATTCTTGATGAAAACATACAATGTAAAATTTACCAAAGCAAAATTTCATTCATAGAGATTTGCCTCTCCTTTACTTTAGGGAAGGAAGAGAGTATTTTTAGAAAAAATAAAAAAGCAGCAAAGCAGAGCAGAGATGTCAGAATTAAAAGATAGATGTCACTCTATCAAGCCTGCCTTGAGGTTTACTGCACCAAGAACATTAATAATCATTACAATTTTCTTAAGGCTGGGATCAGAGTTTAGGTATTAACCACTTAGGACAGTATCTGTTAGAAGTGGAGATGAGGAAGGGGAAAGAGAGAATGAAATATTTCAAAACTTCGGTGCTATTACAAAGCCAATTAGAAGAGCAGCAAAGTAGGAGTGCTCCGGGTGGATTCAATGAACAAGTCTTTCCATTTGAAAAATCTAAAATCCACTACCTTGTTATCCCCCTACGGATGCTGAAATCAGTCAAATAAATGACTTCTGCAGCAATGCCTTAAGCAAGGTTAACAAACGAAATTTTAAAAATCTGTTTGCAACCACTGAAATTTTAAATGAGCAGAGGCTAAAATTTTGGTACTCTTCTTGCTGAGGTAGTGTTGCTTACTCCACAAATCTCTGCTTATTAAGTTTTGAAGAATTCGCATTCCTTCTCCCCTAGGAGAGCAAACCAGAATGGCTCCAGGCATGTACTGCGACACGATGGGTTTTTTCCCAGCACACATCCAGCAAAACGCGTGCAGTTGCAGTCACTGTGCGATGTACCTCTGCCAGTGTTAATGGTAGTGGGACTAAAGGCCTTCCAGACAATGGTCTCACAGATGTTGGTGGCAATAAAGAGGGAAATCCCAGACCCCAAGCCGTAACCCTTCTGTAGCAGCTCATCTAACAGCAGCACAATCAAACCAGCAACAAACAACTGTGGGGAAAGAAATGCAAGTAAGCAGAAGCAAGAACAAACTCAAGAAAGGGGGAGAGGAACACCATGGGCTATTTCCAAGCTAGGGGCGTTTTGAATATTAAGGCCTGACCGTTGCAATTTCACTACGATGACCAACTGCATCTTTTGGCCTGCTTTCATTTACTCAGGCCAATCCAGAACAGTAAGAGGACTGGAAATACTGTTGCGTTATAAAGCAGACATTTCAACTTTAAAGTCTATTTACACTTATCTGAATAGTTTCTTTTGCAATGTTTAAATAAAGCCTGTTTGAAAAGCACACTGAAACAAAAAAAATGATCACAGTATTCTAGAATTTATGACAGCAAGAAACTGAAAACATCCCAAATACCTCCAAGGAAGTAAAAAGTCAGATGAATTCTGGTATAATAGCAAGATGGAAATGTACACTGCCATCAAAGGGTAAGTCTAAGGGCTGTGCTGATCCTTTGAAAAAAGCATTATATATGTATTTTATATATATGTATATTCTATACAATGTGTACAGAATAAAAAACTACAACACAAATATGTACTCAAATATGTACTCCAGCAACAATGTAAAAATGCATTCTATACACATAGTGACAAAGATTGAATGTAAATTTGAAGACAGTTAAGGTTAAGCTCATAATGTTTTTAAAAATGAAAGCATACTAACTTTAATTTGTGGGATATTGAAAATTCTGAACTTGCTTCTTGGAGAAGACATTCCTGTAAAAGCATGCATTAATGAAAAACAATCCCTAGCCTTGCAAGTGACCTCCTCCGTCATCTGACCCCTTCCCTGCACTGGAATAAGCTAATCAAGACCGGAAGAAAACATGCTTCTATGCCCCAACCTCACACATGTCCCCACTTTAAAGACACCCCCTGGCAGAAGTGGGGAAGTCACTTCCATTCCTCCCGGTTCTCAAGCCACCCCCCTCATTTTGTACTCACTTGATCCAATATCACCTGCTGGAAGAGCCATGAAACTAACCACATGAGACCCTTTTAGGCATGCTTACCTTACAGTGTTGTTTTTCCCTTAACTGCCACTTCAATAGTTGGACAGAGCCTAACTTGTCTATTTACAGTCTTTTAGTCTGAGTTTCAATAGACAGGAGAAAGGGTACGATTCTCCAAACTTCTAAGAGAGATCATGCTAATCCTTTACTGCTTGAAAACCAAGTTTGACATTTTGACAAAATAATGTAGCGGTTAGGACTTACTACTTCTTCTATTGAACCACAATCATGTCATGAGTGAACAGATACTCCCCATCATAAACTGAGAAACCCATCCTATGCAGGAAATAACAGCTGTCCATGAACATCAGCCACCAGACAGCGTCGTGATGGGCCTTGAGAAATGAGCTCTCCAGAGTCCCACAGCAGCTCTGAAACCACTCGTTCTCCAGACCCCTGTTCAGAACAGGGACCATCGGACTACACAGTCATTCATATCTGTCCTGTGAAAATTAAACTCGGGTTTTTCCAAAGGGAAGAAGAAATTATAGAGAAATGAGAAACGGTTTCTATAATTAAGGGAATAAAAGACAGTAAATATCATGCATGCCTGTGAAAAGGAATAGGAACCCAGGAAGTGGCAGGAGCGTCTATAGTGATGGGACCTGAACCCTAACCGCGTGTGCACGGGGAATGGACGACATGTATGATGAGCTGGTATAAACATGGCACTTAACATTTTAACCCTGCATGGCACCTACACACAACTTAGTTTTGTCAAACTACTTTTTGTTAAGTATGTCAAAACATACTTACCTTTATTACATGCCGTGCACACTGATATTCTCTAATAGTTTTTTAAAATTTTTAATCAAGACCTGCTATTTAGATTTCTAAACTCACTAGCTGAAAAACACTAACCATGTGAATGAAAACATGAACAAATAAGGTGAGAAATACCTTCCGCAACGGCATGCAAACAGTTTTCAAAACCTATGTTTCTGGGTGAAACACACTGATCCAATCATAGCTCTTCAGTGTATCCACATATTTTCAATCTTAGCAATGCCTTGAAAGACACAAATTGGTCACTGCCCACCTATAATCAAACGTGACATCTCTCTCTCCACATTAACACAGAAGCATTCACCGTAACACACATATTTGTATATCAGCATTCATGTAAATGAATTAGTATACATCCACTTCACTTGTTTCATTCTTGGACTGTAACTATTTCTGATTTCTGATTTCTGACTACTGAAAATAAACATTAAAATAGCTTAACTATTTCATATCAATTTAAATCCATAACTGACTCTGTAAGAAGTCAATCCTATAGCTAGCTAGCTGAGAATCACTCAGTGGAGATTCCTTAGGAATCTGAATATATCCTTAAGTAAGATACTAGAGACATTTTCTTGATGTATAATGTTCTACGAGCTACATGCCAGTTCTAAGTGTCTTTTAAAAATCAAGATTATTCTAAACTCTGGATTGCATAAATAAAATGCTATAAAGAAATAAAACTGAAGGCAACAATTGGCCTGTCCATACCCTCAACAATGCCTAAAGCATATGAAGAGAAACCCCAAGCACTGAAAGGCACTAAAATCAGACTCCAGGGTACCTTCTCTCCCCATCCAATGCGCCTCTTTCCCTAATTCCCAAGGGCTGTAAATTTGCCAATCAAGTGATTTGTAAATGGAGAAATAAAGACAAAGTTAATCTTTTTTATTTTTTAGAGACAGATCTCACTCTGTCGCCCAGACTGGAGAGCAATGGTGTGACCTCAGCACACTGCAACCTCCAACTCCCAGGTTCAAGCAATTCTCCTGCCTCAGCCTCCCTAGTAGATGGGGGATTACAGGCATGCACTGCCATGCCTGGCTAATTTTGGTGGTGTTATTTTATTTTTTGAGACGGAGTCCGGCTCTGTTGCCAGGCTGGAGTGCAGTAGCGCAATCTCAGCTCACTGCAACCTCTGCTTCCTGGGTTCTGCCTCAGCCTCCTGAGTAGCTGAGATTACAGGCATGCACCACCATGCCTAGCTGATTTTTGTATTTTTAGTAGAGACAAGGTTTCACCATGTTGGTGAACTCCAGCCTGGGCAATAAGAGTGAAACTCTGTCTCAAAAACAAAAACAAAAAGACAGGATGCTCAACCACGCCAGTCTGAGACAGATTTCTCTCCATGTATATATTAATAAACTGGTACTTGAGATTATTAAAAAATATTTTTCTGAGCTTGATCTTCATCTTTTGAACTGATAGAAAAAAAATTCCTGGCTGGGCACGGTGGCTCACACCTGTAATCCCAGCACTTTGGGAGGCCAAGGCAGGCGGATCACGAGGTCAAGAGACCGAGACCATCCTAGCCAACGTGGTAAAATCTCATCTCTACTAAAAATAGAAAAATTAGCCAGCCATGGTGGCACCTGTAGTCCCAGCTACTCAGGAGGCTAAGGGAGGAGAATCGCTTGAACCCAGGAAGGGGAGGTTGCAGTGGGCCGAGATCATGCCACTATACTTCAGCCTGGCGACACAGTGAGACTCTGTCTCAAAAAAAAAAGAAAAAATTTCCTAAACTAATCTGAATTTCATAAAGTGAACAAGAAGAGGCATTTCCAAGAAAATCAGGACTCCAGATACCCATTTTTTTCTTTTTTTTTTGGAGACAAGAGTCTCACTCAGTTGTCCAGGCTGGAGTGCCGTGGCGTGATCTCAGCTCACTGCAAGCTCCGCCTCCCAGGTTCACGCCATTCTCCTGCCTCAGCCTCCCGAGTAGCTGGGACGACAGGCACCCGCCACTATACCCAGCTAATTTTTTTGTATTTTTAGTAGAGTATTAACCATGTTAGCCAGGATGGTCTCGATCTCCTGACCTCGTGATCCGCCCCTATCGGCCTCCCAAAGTGCTGGGATTACAGACATGAGCCACCATGCCCGGCCTCAGATACCCATTGTTTATTAACTTAAACAAACTTCTTTTCAAAACACAAGAAAGATAACTTAAGTACAATCCGTTCTTGGGTAATTTATCTAAATGGTTTTTAAGGATTGTACAATGGAAAAATATCTTCTAAACTTAACATACTTTAAGATACCTAGGGCTGGGCGTGGTGGCTCACGTCTGTAATCCCAGCACTTTGGGAGGCTGAGGTGGGCAAATCACGAGGTCAGGAGTTCCAGATTAGCCTGGCCAACATGGTGAAACCCCGTCTCTACCAAAAATACAAAAAATTAGCTTGGCGTGGTGGTTGGCATCTGTAATCCCAGCTACTCAGGAGGCTGAGGCAGGAGAATTGCTTGAACACGGGAGAGGAGACGGAGATTGCAGTGAGCTGAGAACGTGCCACTGCACTCCAGCCCGGGCAACAGAGTGATACTAAATCTCAAAAAAAAAAAAAAAAAAAAAAAAAAATGATACTTAGGACACTGATAATTATACTGGCCTTTAAAAATTCCATTCCCAAGTGGCTGGGCGGTGGCTCATGCCTATAATCCCAGCACTTTGGGAGGCCGAGGCAGGTGGATCACGAGGTCAGGAGATCAAGACCATCCTGGTTAACATGGTGAAACCCTGTCTCTACTAAAAATACACACACACACACACACACACACACACACACACACAATTAGCCGGGTGTCGTGGCGGGCGCCTGTAGTCCCAACTACTCGGGAGGCTGAGGCAGGAGAATGGCGTGAACCCGGGAGGTGGAGCTTGCAGTGAGCCGAGATCATGCCACTGCACTCCAGCCTGGGCGACAGAGCAAGACTCTGTCTCACCAAAATAATTAATAAATAAATAAATAAATAAATAAATAAATAAATAAATTCCATTCCCAAGCATCCATTTAAAAAACCCGTAGAACATACTTGTGTGTGTATAAATAGTGTTTCACTGACTCTAAGATATTACCATTTAAACCATTATTTTGTGTATTACTAAGAAAAGAATACTGCCAATTAACTTGTGACACAATACCTTATTACAAAGAATTTTAATTTTCTCCTTACAAAAAGGTATTTTAGACCTCGAGGTAGATATTTGTCCTCTAGCTTGCCCTTCTATATTTAAACAATAACCTTCATTTCAGTAACGAATCACAGCAGATTTTCTGAACACCTTTAGACAGCGACTGAACTCAAACAGCCGTTCTGTCAAGAACACACTCAACCAACTAACGTCAGGACGTGAACAAGCCAACACGCACAGGCAGTGACAACACCACTGTCTCCTGGCGGACCGCAAGTGGAAGGCACTGTCTACCGTACAGAAACATCCTGATTCCAGAGGCATCACAGTGTGACACATGTGCATCTCAAGAATCAATACCGTTGACCCATAATTCTTGGCATTGTGCAGTTATGAAGCTCTTAGAATAAATTTGAATTTTTCACATCAACACAATTTGAACACATCACAGTCATAGAAGGTTTTAAAAAAAATGTACACATATCACTTCAGTGATCAAAATACTATAATCAAATAATTCAACAGTAAGAAAATGAACAAGTCAATCACCTAAAGGACTGTTAGAAAAGAAAAAAGGAATCAAACTGTTTTGTTATCTGCATAGGAAAATACAGGATTTCTTACCTGAATAATGATAAGGAGACAGATCCCGGCACCCATTTCCGCAGGGTCCCCGTACATCCCCGTCATGACATACACAATGGCTTGCCCGATGGTAATGATCATACCAAACACTGACGAGAAGTGGGGGAAAGGAGAGCACGCTTACCACCACCGACAAGGAAAGCCCGAGAAAACATCTTTACCGCAAGCAGTCTCAAACTTGGAAAACGCTCTTGAACTGCATTAATGCTCACGTTTCTGGGCTCCATTGAATAAAGCTCTATCTTTCGGTGTATCTCCCACTTCAATGATTTTGGCTCCAGCTAACAACTGCATAATCAAACCAGATGTTACAATTGGGGAGATACCCAATTCCATTAAAGTTCCTGGAGAGGAAGGGGAGAGAAGTGTGCAATGTTTATTGTACACGATACAAACGGATTTACGGGTATCCCACTCCCTAATTACCTCAACTGAAACACACGTGTAAATTTTAACAAGCACATTTTCATTTCTTAAACATTCATTGCTAAGAAAAGTTCTCATTTATTAACACAATCCTGCAACAATGCCCTGAATAAAAAGTACTATAGGCTTGGCGCAGTGGCTCATGCCTGCAGTCCCTGCACTTTGGGAGGCCAAGGTGTGTGGATCACTTGAGGTCAGGAGTTCCAGACCAACTGGCCAACATGGTGAAACCCTATCTCTACTAAAGAGACAGGAGATTCCCTTGAACCGAGGAGTCGGAGGTTGCAGTGAGCGAAGATCGCACCACTGCACTCCAACCTGGTGACAGAGTGAGACTCCATCTCAAAAAAAAAGGCCGGGCACACTGGCTCATGCCTGTAATCACAGCACTTTGGGAGGCTGAGGCAGGCAGATCACGAGGTCAGGAGTTTGAGACCAGCCTGACCAATATGGTAAAACCCCTTCTCCACTAAAAATACAAAAGTTAGCCAGGCATGGTGGCACACGCCTGTAGTCCCAACTACTCAGGAAGCTGAGGCAGAAGACTCGCTTGAACCTGGGAGGCACAGGTTGCAGTGAGCTGCGATCACTCCAGCCTGGGCGATAGAGTGAGACTCTGTCTCAAAAAAAAAAAAAAGAAAAAAAAAAGACATTAGATAGACTTCTTAAATCACCAAAATTTATTATTGCAAAATAGCTCTAGTCCAGAATTAGATTTAATCAAGCTTTAATAAATATCTGATATAGGAAATATGGCATTTCAAATCAGTAGAGAAAAAAAGAATGGACCTGGGCAAAAAAATTGGCCATTTTTAGGAAATTAAACCTAGATTCCTTACCTGATGCCTCATGCCTTACATCAAAATAAATGCTACATGTATAGAAATTCTTTGTCTTTTTTTTTTTTAGACAGAGTCTCGCTGTCACCCAGGCTGGAGTGCAATGGCACGATCTTGGCTCACTGCAACCTCCCCCTCTCGGATTCAAGCAATTCTCCTGCATCAGCCTCCCGAGTACCTGAGATTATAGTCGTGAGCCACCATGCCCGGCTAATTTCTGTATTTTCAGTAGAGATGGCGTTTCACTACATCGGCCAGACTGGTCTCAAATTCCTGACCTCAAGTGATCTGCCCCCCTCGGACTCCCAAAGTGCAGGGATTACAGGCATGAGCCACTGTGCCCAGCCTCCATGTATAGAAAATTTAAACATAAAGGATAAATGACAAAAATACTAGAAGGAAATATCGGTGAGTAGCTTATCATCTTGGGGAAGAAAGTATTTTTAAGCATGGCAAAAAATCTAGAAGCCACAAAGGAAAAGATGGAAGATATGATTGGCTACAACTATGAAATTTCCACATGGCAAAAGGCAGCAATAACGGTTAGAATAAAACTATGTAGGCAGGCACGGTGGCTCACGCCTATCACCCCAACACTTTAGGAAGCCGAGGCAGGCAGATCCCTTGAGGCCAGGAGTTTGAGAGCAGCCTAGGCAACAAAGTGAGACCCTGACTCTACAAAAAATTAAAATACTAGCCACAAATGGTGGGGCCCTGTTGTGGTCCCAGCTACATGGGAGGCTAAGGCAGGAGCGTCGCTTGGCCCAGGAGGTCAAGGCTGCAATGAGCTATATTTTGCACCACTGCACTCCAGCCTGGGCAACAGAACAAGAGCCTGTCCCAAAAAAAGAAAAAAAAAATTAAACACAAATGACAAAAAGTTCTATTCTCTAATATGCAAAGAGCTCTTACAAATCAATTAAAAAGTGAACAAACTGGTCGGGCGCAGTGGCTCACACCTGTAATCCCCGCACTTTGGGAGGCTGAAGTGGGTAGATCACAAGCTTGGGAGATCAAGACCTCCTGGCTAACACAGTGAAACCCTGTCTCTACTAAAAAATACAAAAAATTAGCCAGGCGTGGTGGCAGGCGCCTGCCTGTAATCTCAGCTACTCGGGAGGCTGAGGCAGGAAAATTTTTTAAAAATTAATTAATTAATTTTAAAAACAGTGAACAAACCAATTTAAAAAGGAAACAGCCGATACATGATGTGTCTGCTTCCGATGAAGCTTTCTCAGGAAAATGCAGCACAGGAGTAGGCCCCCAGCACCCAAACCTGTACCGTGCAACCCTGGAACTCTAACCGAAGCTCATCCTGCCTGGCGTCAACCCTGGTCATCTGGAATTTTAAACTAATAAATAAAGAATCTGGGGCCGAGCACAGTGGCTCAAACCTGTAATCCCAGTGAGGCCGAGGCAGGTGGATCACCTGAGGTCAGGAATTCGAGACCATCCTGGCCAACATGGTGAAACCCCATCTCTACTAAAAATACAAAAAATTAGCCAGGCATGGTGGCCTGTGCCTGTAATTCCAGCTACTCAGGAGGCTGAAGCAGGAAAATCGCTTGAACCTGGGAAGTGGAGGTTGCAGTGAGTCAAGATCACGCCATTGCACTCCAGCCTGGACAACAAGAGCGAAACTCCGCCTCAAAACAAAACAAAACAAAACAAAACAACAGTATCTGGGAGTGTGGAGCTGAATCGCGCAGAAAATGTTCACCAGTCCCTGGCCGCTGAGGCCTAAGAGCTGGCCGGGCTCTCCTTCCTCCTGGGGCTTAGCTGTTCACCTCCACTTTAGATTCCAAAAAATAACCAGTATTCTTCCAGCAAATGGCATGTTTCTGTTTAAGCTAGTCAGTGATTTCCTATTCCTTAATTTTTTGCCTTTATTTAAAAAAATTTTTTTTCTTTTTTCTTTTCATGTTAGATGGGTAATGTCCCAAGATCCTAACGAGGCTGGGGAGAGGCGTATCTCACCCATGAGCGTGAAGGTCCAATCATCACGCCCACGGACTACGAAAGCATCTAGTTTCCTATTACTTATAACAAAAAGGAATCTAACACACTAATAAAAGTCCACTTACAGAAGAAATACAAATGTTCCATAAAAACAGAAAACAATGTTCAAACTCACCAATCTATAAAGAAATCAAAATGAAGTAACTGTTGCCGGCTTTTACCTGTCTGACTGACAAAGACTACAATACTAATAATATCCACGGTTGAGAGAAATGGTCATTCTCATACACTGTCACTGAGAGTGGAAAATCAAACAACTGTTCTGGAAGATAATTTAGCCTTCTCTATCAAAAACTGTAGTGTGCCCATCTTGTGTCCTAACAGTTGAACTTCTAGAAATTCATTCTATCAAAAAGTTACAGAAGGGTGTGATACCCTTCATTGTAGCACTGTTTACAACGTTATAAAATCAGGGGGAAAAATGTAATATATGACAAGAAAGGACCCTAGTGGCCTGCAGAAGTTTCCCATCTTCCTTAAAATGTGCTGCATCCAACGGTCCCCAAGTCCTTCATGAGCTGACTTAGATACATCTGCAACCTCAGGTCCCACCATGCCTCCCTCTTCTTTCATTTCTTCCCACATTCACCTTCTCAATATTCTTTTTTTTTTTTTTTTTTTTTTGAGACAGGGTTTGGCTGTGTCACCCAGGCTAGAGTGCGGTGGCGTGATCTTGGCTCACTGCAACCTCTGCCTCCCAGGCTCAAGTCATCCTCCCACCTCAGCCTCCCAAGTAGCTGGGACCACAGGTACACGCGACCACGCCTGGCTAATTTTTGTGTTTTTAGTAGAGATGGGGTCTCAATTTGTTGCCCAGGCTGGTCTCGGACTCCTGACCTCAAGTGATCTGCCCGCTTCAGCCTCCCAAAGTGTTGGGATTACATGCGTGAGCCCCCATGCCCAGCCCTTACTCAATGATCTTTGAACACACCAAGCACAGGCTCACCTCAGGGCCTTTGCACTGGCTCTTCCCTAGAATGTGCCTCCCTCAGGTCTTCATGTGGCCTCCTCTCTCACTTCCTGCAGGTGTCTTCAAAGATCACCTTCCTAGAGCACCTTCCCCACCCCATGTACCTCCCTAAACAGCAAATATCTCCATAACAATTGGGACATTGTCTTGTTCACTGCTGTAATCTTGGCACCTTACACAAAGGCTGACACCTGACACACAGTACGAATTCAATAAACGTGTTGAATGAATGATCAAATAATCACGGCATATCCTTATAATGGAATAATAACATGGCCATTAATAGCTCATGTAAGATATTAAGAAACCAAAGTAGCAGAATAGTATATACAGGACATCTTAGAGTTATAAGAAGTATATAGATATATGTAGGTGAATGTACGTGCAAAGAAAAGGCTTCAATGCATAGTCACCAATCTAACAAATTCTCCAGAGCTCCCCTCAGAAGCGACACTTTTCTTTTCAGCTTCATATAAATCTATATACAAACTGCTAGTGCATTTTTTAAATAATAAATCAATATTACCTTTATAACCTAAAAACATAAAAAAAAAAATCTGCCAGCTAAAGTATTTCCAGGCTGGGTGCAGTGGCTCACACCTGTAATCCCGGCACTTTCAAAGGCCGGGGAGGGAGGATGGCATGAATCCAGAGTACAAGACCAGCCTGGGCAACACGGCAAAACCTCATCTCTACAAAACTACAAAAATTAGCCAGGCATTGTGGCCCGTGCCTATTGTCCCAGCTACTCAGGAGGCTGAAGTGGGAGGATCACCTGAAAAAAGTATTTCCAAAAAAGAGGCAACCACTGTTCCTAAATGCAAGAAACCTCATGACTGGTTGTACCCCTTGCTAGTCTCACTATCCAGCATCCTCAGCCACAATTTCCCAGATGAACCATGTTGCTTGAGGCTTCAGGCTCAGCTCCAGCTGAGCTCCCCCACTGGCTCACACACTGGACTCCTCTTTTTTTTTTTTGGAGACAGAGTCTTACTCTGTTACCCAGAATGGATTGCAGTGGTACGATCTTAGCTCACTGTAACCTCCACCTCCCAGGTTCAAGCAATTCTCCTGCCTCAGCCTCCCGAGTAGCTGGGATTACAGGTGCACACCACCACGCCTGGCTAATTTTTGTATTTTCAGTAGAAACGGGGATTTCACCATGTTGGCCAGGCTGGTCTCAAACTCCTGGCCTCAGGTGATCCGCCCACCTTGGCCTCCCAAAGTGCTGGGATTACAGGGGTCAGCCACCAGGCCCCACCTGGACTCCAATTCCAGTGTTACCTGGACATCACCTTCTTTGACACGAAGATCAGGGTTTTCTAGTCCGTGAAAACCCAAGAACAGATTTCTCTATGATTACGGTAATCACACGGTGTTGTCATTATCTACATACTAGGCTTCTCTAGGCAATGATATCCTCCCCTCCCTGTAGGCACTGAAAACTCATTGCTAATCCACATTTCCATCTGTTTGCTGTGAGGAGGAATGTGGAGACAGAAAAGACACGCATACCTCTATTGGAAGCCAGAATAACTCTCATCCAGTAGAAAGGATCTGCAGAATCTGATGACATGATTCCAAACAGAGGGATCTAAAATAGTACACAAAATAGTTTATGAAACTGTATTAATAAGGCTGAGGCATAAGAATCGATTGAACCCAGGAGGCAGAGGCTGCAGTGAGCTGAGATCGCACCACTGCACTCCAGCCTGGGTAACAGAGATTCTGTCTCAAAAAAAAAAAAAAAGTATAAAGTGTGCACTTAATTTACAGTGTATTCACTTAATGTTTGCAATACTTTTTAAAAAACTATTCTCATGTTCCTTAACAAAAACAAGCATATCTTCAAGGTAAAGCTGTTTATTAAAAAGAAAATAAAAAGAAAAACATTCCATCACATAGATAAGGGTTAATAAAAAAATATAATTAAAAGAACCAGAAAGTGAAAATAAAAATAAAAACAACAAATCATTACTTAGTGCATTCACTAGTAAATATTCACATCGGTTATGGAGTGTTGTGGTACAACAATGTGAATATTCCTAATGTTACTAAACTGTACATCTAAAAATGGTTAAGATGTCATATTTTATATACTTTTACCACAATTTAAAAAACACTCCCACCAGTAGATTATGGAATATTATACCTGCCTAGTCATAGAATAATTTTGCAAAGTTCTATGTACTAAAGACAGCCAAGGTCACTCTTCTCAATGTAAGACTGAAGATGATAGCCACAATGGAATATTATAGGGCCACTAAAAATTATGCTTACTCCATCTGTAATAACGTGGAAGAAGTACTTATGTCATAAAACTAAATATAAAATAGCGGTCCTCAACCTGGGGTGATTTTAGCCCCCACCCAAGACATTTGGCAATATCTAAAGACATTCTTGGTTGTCACAACTTGGGGTGGAGACCAAAGTGACTCCATCTTGGATGCTAATCTACCAGGTTGACTTCTGCTCAACCCTGGTCCCAGGGATAACTCCTGATTCCTGCTTTATTTACAGTCCTCAGTATAAGAACATGTACTCGCTATAAATGCTGCCCTGAGAGCCAAGCAACCTTGATGCTGTTACACAAATGACAGGCGGTGACACAGAGCATTGTTACATGTTCTGGAAGGCTGCTTTCAATTGTCCTGCACAAAGTGCGTACACCCTTTCCCTGTGATAGATTAGCCCCGGATCTGAGAGTACGAGTGCAGGCCTTTCCCTGTCTTACGGCTGCCCCAAACTATGCTTCTGTCCATAAAATCACCCTCTACTGACAAACTGGATTTGTCTCCCACATGGATTGGTTTCTCAGCTCCTTCAGTGTTTGAGGGTCATTTTGCATATACAGCCCTTTCACAGAACAGGGGGTGCTGCTAGCATCTAGTGGGTAGAGGCCAGAGATGCTGCTGAACATCCTAAAATACACAGGACAGCCCCCCCGTGACAAGGAATCATCCTACTCAAATTCAGGAGTGCCACTGTTAAGAGGCCCTAGTATAAAAACAAAGGTACAAAGGTGTATATATAAACGTTGACACTGTAAATAGATGTACAGAAAATAAAACTAGGAGTAGATATCTTTTTAAATCCTAAAGAGCGATTATCTGTAGATGGTGGAATTATGGTTGACTTTTTCTTCTGTATTCTTTTCAAATGTATCAAATTTTCCATCATGAGGACATTAACTTTTCATTAAAACAACAACAACAACAAAAAAGAAACACCTTATTCAGATTGCTTCATATCATATGACCCATGTTTAGGATATAGCACTTGGCCTCAACCCCTCCTCAACCATGTGGGGATCGGAAAAAGACATTTCAAAAACCTTCTCCATATGAAACTCATTTTTAAGAAAGTTACAAGGCCGGGCGTAGTGGCTCACACCTGTAATCCCAGCACTTTGGGAGGCCAAGGCAGGTGGATCACGAGGTCAGAAGATCGAGACCATCCTGGCTAACACAGTGAAACCCCGTCTCTACTAAAAATACAAAAAGAAAATTTGCCAGGCATGGTGGCAGGGTCCTGTAGTCCCAGTTACTCAGCAGTCTGAGGCAGGAGAATGGCATGGACCCAGGAGGCAGAGCTTGCAGTGAGCTGAGATGCGCCACTGCACTCCAGCCTGGGCAACAGAGCAAGACTCCATCTCACTGCCAACAGAGATGGAATATAAAAAAAAAAAAAAAACAAAGTTACAAAACGTGCTGGCAGCAATTTTAAACAACTCACGTGATCAACCGAAACCTCTCTGAATGTCTGAATTTATTAGCTGGGTAACAAAACTGGTAAAGCATGAAACATGGACATTTTATGTGCACCTTGCAGCTGTAGACACTCTTCATTTAAAGAGAAAGGTGGCCGGGCGCGGTGGCTCAAGCCTGTAATCCCAGCACTTTGGGAGGCCGAGAGGGGCGGATCACTAGGTCAGGAGATGGAGACCATCCTGGCTAACACGGTGAAACCCCGTCTCTACTAAAAAATACAAAAACCTAGCCGGGCGAGGTGGCGGGCGTCTGTAGTCCCAGCTACTCAGGAGGCTGAGGCAGGAGAATGGCGTGAACCCGGGAGGCGGAGCTTGCAGTGAGCTGAGATCTGGCCACTGCACTCCAGCCTGGGTGACAAAGCGAGACTCTGTCTCAAAAAAAAAAAAAAAAAAAAAGGAGAAAGGTGAGGGCCAGGAGCAGTGGCTCAGGCCTGTAGCCCCAGCATCTTGGGAGGCCAAGGTGGGCAGATCACTTGAGGCCAGGAGTTCGAGACCAGCCTGGTCAACATGGTGAAACCCCATCTCTACTAAAAATACAAAAACTAGCCAGGAGTGGCAGCTTGTGCCTGTAATCCCAGCTACTCAGGAGGCTGAGACAGGAAAATCGCTTGAAACCAGGAGGCGGAGCTTGCAGTGAGCGGACATCATGCCACTGCACTCCAGCCTGGGCGACAGAGCGAGACTCTGTCTCAAAAAAAACAAACAAAAGAAACATTACAGGAGAGTCCATATCAAAATATTCCACAAGTAGAAAGCGGTCATTCAGCCAACAACCTTCCTTAATCCCGATGGTTAGGTGCTCTATGGGAAATGGAACAAGCCAACCTCCCATAATTAACGGTATACCCTCCTTTCCTGCAGCCAATAAGATTATGAAAATTGGTTTCTAATTTTATTTCACTTAGTAAATTCCACAGCTAAAGAATCATGTACAACAACAGGTGGGCAACAATAGGAGCCTATTTTCTATGAATCTGTCACGGTTGCAGAGTTTTTGCTATATTTAATATAATAATCAGTTTCAACTTGTTAAGGCACTCTAAGCAGGTGGCCATTAGCCTGTGGTTGTTTCTGTATCCTGAAATCTCACAAAAGAAAACTGAAAATGACCTTAGAGGGTATTTGATTCTGAATGAGTTTCAGCCAATTACAGCCAGCCAACCCGCCTATTAGCTACACAGAAACCTGTCACAGGAACATAATCAAATGAGGCAAATGCCTAGCTGTAGCCAATCAAGTAATTTCTTTACTTCTGCAATTCTTCACTTCTGCTACAAAAGCTCACTGCCCACACCCGTGGAGCAGCTCTCGGACCCTCTACCCATGTTGAGTGCTGTCAGATTCATGAATCCTTTAATGCCCAAATAAACCCTAAGTTTATCTTGTCTGAAGGTTCTCTTTTAACAAACTTGACAAAAATACAGTACAGTACTCAGAGAAACAAAGCACTCCATGCCCTAATGGAAACCTGAACTAATCAGATGGAGAAAAAGAAAATTAGCACCAGGGATTTCCAAACAGAAAACCAAACAAAGTATTTGTGGGGGGAGATGGCAAGATGAAATTAAATAACAGCATTTTCCTCCACACATCATAAAACACAGTTATTTATTTATTTATTTATTTTGGAAACAGAGTCTCACTGTCACCCAGGATGGAATGCAGTGGTATAATCTTGGCTCATTGCAATCGCCACCTCCCAGGTTCAAGCAATTATCCTGTCTCAGCCTCCCAAGTAGCTGGGATTACAGGTGTGTGCCACCATGCCCGGCTAATTTTTGTATATTTAGTAGAGAAGAGGTTTCACCATTTTGGCCAGGCTGGTCTCAAACTCCTGATCTGCCCACCTCTGCCTCCCGAAGTGAGGAGATTACAGGTGTGAGCTACCATGTCCAGCCTAAAATACATTTTTTAAAACATGTAAAATAGCAAAAGCTACCAAGAATGAAAAAAGCTATGGAAAGAGAAAAAAATCTGTGAAGCAGCCAAACAAGAAAAGGGACTGTCAACTTGAGCCTGGTGGTCCTGGGGAAAACTCCAGACAGTTGAGAAGGAAGGAGACTCAACACCAGAGCTGCTCCTGACCCTCACAACGGGAAGTCGACAGGATCTTAGACCTCCCATCAACATTCCAAATCTGGAGGAAGTAAACCGCAGATATTCTTATCGTGTTCCCTCCTCGGGATAAGAAGGAAGGGAAACAGCAGCTGCGAAGAAATGGATGAAAGAGAAGACAGCAACGGGCTGAGCCTCCCTGATGGAAGTGAAGTATAATGGGCTACGCCGAATTGGGAATGAAAAACTCTTCCACTACAGGGCAGCAATCTGGAGCCTAGAATGAAAGACACTCCCCCTCAGTCAGATGGCAGACAGCTTCTCAAGATGGTTAACAAAAATCCAAGAAATACTGTACATTCTAAAATAACTAGAAGGGTCCGGGCACGGTGGCTTGCACCTGTAATCCCAGCACTTTGGGAGGCAGAGGCAGGTGGATAACTTGAACTCAGGAGTTGAAGACCAACCTGGCCAACATGGTGAAATCCCATCTCTACTAAAAACACAAAAAAATTAGCCAGGTGTGATGGTACGTGCCTGTAATCCCAGCTACTTCGAAGGCTGGGTCACAAGAATCACTTGAACCCGGGAAGCGGAGGTTCCAGTGAGCCGAGATCGCACGATGGCACTCCAGCCTTGGCGACAGAGCTGAGACTCCATCTCAAACAAAAACAAAAACCAGCTAGAAGGGAATACGTCAAATGTTTCCAGCATAAAGAAAAGACAAGTATTTAAGGTGATGGATATCCTTTACCCTGATTTGATCTTTA